CATTACTACAACACTGAAATGTTTATTTTATGACTGTTTAGTGTTGTTCAATCAAATTAACTGATCATCTTGGCTATAAACATTCTTAAGAACATTTCATAACTTCTTGTATGATTATAGCAGTTACTGTTCACCACGCATACACATATCATAGCTTCCACAACCCAATACTGAAATATTTTTATTATTGGTGTCTATCTTCCTTTCTACTTGGTATTATTATTTGCATTTTTGTTATTTTTGTGTTTCTTTTTGGTTTTGTTGTTGTTTTTTTATATATATTAAAATTTTTATAATGTTCCTTTTAAATGTGCGATGAAATTAAATGCAATATTGTAGATATGCGCTGAAAATTCCACACTGTACCACTAGTACTGTTTCTGGAATAAAAGCAAAATTATTATTATTATTATTATTATTAAAGATATTCTGGAATAGAGTCCCGTGTCTACAAACGTCACGTATGCTTTAGCCTGTGACTAAAATTCACACAATTCTTCGAATCAGTTTTACATTTATGCACTGTAATATCGCTAATCACTGTTGTGTATTTTTTCTGTAAAGATATAGGACCAATTGATTTATGCATATCCAAGCTAATGGAATTTATATCAACAGTATGTTCCAAACAGTTGAAGATATCATACTGGAATTTAACGTTCATCGTCATCTTGATTTTGGAAATTATAATATTGATTCACCTGGATTCTGTTACACATCAATGTAACGATGTTTGTCCATCTGAGAAGAAAGCTACTACCGAAGCTAACAATCCACGAAATTTACCACTTATATTTATCGGAGGTCATCAAAGCTCAGGTTAGCTAAATTTTACCCAGTATATTAAAAAAAAAAGAGTTAAAAGAAATCACTTTTTGGATTCAATTCATGAAAATGCAAATTTTACTGTTTGAAACGATAAATTACCACAATTTTCTCTAACAGATGTCAGCTCATGATGAAATCCTCCATGCGTCGGTGGCACAGTGGTTAGGACTCTCACCGACTATGCACATGGTCCGGGCTTCGAGCCCACGCCGACGCACACTTGATATCTATGGTCGGCTTGCGAATTTTGGGCTACCGATATCCAAGCTGAAAATTCCATACTTGTACCAAAAATCAAGCTGTAATAAAAAAAACCAAAATAAATCCCTACAAAATCAATATTTGAAAATTATCTGATGCTCACTAGCGACTGGCCCTGTTCAAGCAGTTACATGTGGTCCTGGTGGGAAGGCGTGACCAGTTGGGTACAGCAAGTTGAAGGTGAGGCAGTAACTCAAAAAGACATTACGAAATGTTCGCACTTTGTCATGAATTGGCTGAAGTTGAACTTCATGGACTGGCCATTGGATCAGGTCCCAGTGGCTCAATGGTCTACGAGCTAGCTGGCCTTGTAACCAGAGGTTTCCTGGGTTCGAACCCCTATGGTGGGTGCGTACTGCTGATAACAATAACTTAAATCTGCGTAGCAAGCACTTCTGTTTGACGTGCCTGTCTTCTAACTACTCACATCATTTATTGAGTAGAATGAAAATTCATCTTTTGGTGACTCTAAATTGTAGCATCCCTAATCGAAACTACCTAGCGAACGAATAAGTAACCTTGACAACGACAACTCTGACCAATCAGAAGCCCCTATACAAATGGCGCATAATTTCAATAAAATGTCTATATAAAAGTATTAAAATGTTAAAAATGGTTACAAGGATAATGTTCTCGTATATGTTCCAAAAAAACCTTACAATTTCTCATAGGAGTCTTGATACCTATGTACTGTACATAAACTCATCGAGATAACTGTATATCATTGCATTTCTTGATCCATTCACAGATTTGATCCGTTTTTTGAGGTGACTTCAACATTTTTCGATGGAATTAGTGTGAGTTCCATGGTGAGTTCCGGGGTTGTTAGCTGGCTATAGCTACTCCATTCATCTGTATGAATAGTTGTTCCAGGCATCACTAAGCGTTGGATTATGGGCAATAAGACATAACCATTTTGATTAAGGATCGCCTCAATGTATCCTTTGCGGAGGGTGGTGTCATATGTCCCAAACACCTACTGACGATTCTTACTCAATCTACCTCGATTATATTGTCTTTTTATCATCCACATGTCTCATCCGCATGAACAATGACGCCAACGCCTCCGAGTACTTGAGTCAATCTCTTCATTGTTCATGATGTTATGTCTCTGCAGTACTGGTACCAGTGCACTGCAGACAATTCTGAATTTTCTATTTTATACACTCTTGCTGTTACTGGTCTTTTAAGCACCCAGTTATGACACATCATTAAAATTTTCTTCAGAGGTCATTGAGACTTGGCGAAAAAAGTACCTACGGAATCTGTAAACTAAAAAAGAATTGCATACCTTCTCGAACTGACTTTCTGGTTCGGCACTCATCGCACCTGTAAACAAATCCATCAATGCACCCAGGGTATCTTTGTATATGCATGACACCTCCACATTCACACTTTTTCGACCTTCCTATCACTCTATTCCATAAAACACTAGCCAAAAACAAGATCTGCAGCGAATTTGTAATGCAAAAGGTGTACAGTATTCATAAGTATGTCTGGATAATATGATGTCACCTGATTGGTTGGTCAGGGTCTTTTATCCATTAGCTAGGTAGTTCCTGTTTGGTGTGCTATAGTTTAGAGTCACCCATCTTTTATGTGATACTGTGATACCTTCACGATGAATTGAGCGACATTGTTAGTTTTCAGTAGTCTAAAATTGGATTTTCCAGAATTGGTTTTGTACGAATTTTGTGTTTGATTCCATGGAGGATTTCATCATGAGCTGACATCAGTTACAGAACCACTGGTAAACCATGGGGGACTGGGAAGATTTTACCATTGTCCTAGTTTGGGACTCTTCATCAGTACGCACCCACCAACACGGTTCGAACTAAGGACCTTCTGGTTACAAGTCCAGCAAGCTAGTAGACCACTGAGCCACTCGAACGAGATCTAGTGGTCCTTGAATTCTAACTTCTGCTAATTCATAACACAGCGCCACCATTTCACAATGTCTTCTTTGATGAGTTATTGTACCCAGCTGGTCACAGCTTCCATCTGGAACTCCAGGTTAACTACCTGAATAGGGCCAGTCGTTAGTGAGCATCAAATGATGGTCGAGCGTCTAACAGATGTCAGCTCATGATGAAATCGTCCATAAAATTGGATTTGTTTTTTTATTCTTTTACGTTCCTAGTGGGACATATGATTCCAAGCTAGAGGCTTGAAGTTTCTGTAGCAGTAGTAGCCAGGGATCGAATCCTTGACCGCCTGCGTGGTAGGCGAGGGTTCTCCTACTGTGCCACTGACACACGGTATTAAATTTGTAATTGGCCTTTTTCCGAATTTTAAAAGTGTGTATACAGTTCGAGCATGAAACTGTGAAAAGGAGTTGCATTTTTTACTTTTTAGGGGAAAAATGTATTCTGTAGGAGAATTTTAATACACAGAACACGATTGTGGCTGTATAGATGAAGAACCTTAAAACTTTATATTACGCTACAGTACTTCTGTAAAAGGTGATAAATATCTTGAATTGGACATGCAGTCTGAATAACAAAGTGCATAATTAATCACTATGACATAATTTTAGCATAATTTAGCCTCTTCAATAATAGATTTGTAGGGGTTTGGTTGATTGATTACAGGATTTCATCAAGTTGCCGTCAGTACTACTTTTGAGTTCAAAAAAGGACAAGCCATCTACAAATTTATAGAAAATCAAGACATGTAATTCAGCGAATAGACTCTTTTCAACGAATTTATCATCAAACTGTACAATTGTATATATATGGGTTTATTTTAAGAAGTTATATTCGGTGAGGGAATTGAATCATAGGTGTGAATGCATAAAATAATAATATGAAACGCAATTAAAACTAAAATGTTTGTGATTATAATCTTAGTTAAATGTTAAGTGGCAAAAGAAAATTAATGTCACATTTAGAATAATTCCTAGGATTGATAGAACTTGCAAAGCGTCTGCAGTTATAGGATTAGTAGACAAATCGAATGAAATAAAAACGTTACGTAATATTGTGTGAAATTTGATTGCATAGAATTTAACGTTGTAAAAGAAGAATTGATTTAGAACGACAAGTGGAACAAGTGAAATAATACCGAGGACAGTTCAAAGTGAGAGTAGTAATAATAGTAACAATTGACTTAATAAAGAAGAGTATACAAACTGAATAGACAAAATGAAAAAATGAAAAATTGGTAGAGCTAAAATATGATTGGGGATTACTATACTTTAGCATAGAGGGATTAAGACCATGAAAGTTGGAGGGGTTGGATGAACTTTTTCTGTACACAAAGCTCTGGCTGGCTTTTCTGTTTCAATAGTCAAAGATGGCTTCAGCAATACAGATGAGTCGGGTACGTCGGGATTGGGGTAAGTTATTCATTGCCTTGAAGATGGCTTTATAGGCGGAGGCTGTAGAGAGATACGGTGATCATTATCGACCAGATGTTCAATGATCGCGCTTCTTATTGCTCTTCGTGACCATGAAGGATAGTGTCCTTGCACCCTCTTGGACAAAACTCGAGTCGAACGACCGATATACCTAGCTCCATACGAGCAGGTGAAATGATAAACACACATAGAGTTGGTCAACAACAGGATCTTGTCCTTCAGGCTATTGAATAGTAATGGTCTACTAGTAAAGGCTATTCTCAGAGATGCAGCAAGGAATGCTCTTTTCTGGGAGTGTGTTATCCTTCGTTGGATGATATCGGAAGCAAAGTCCCCTTTAAATGACAAGCTCATATAAAGTATTTTCCTGTCTACAAAACGTTGGAGAAACCTATAGTATTGTTTGGTTTTTTGGAGTAATTTTGATATACACAATTTGTAATGACTTATTTAAAATTCACTTTTTGAAACCATTACTTAATCCATTGCTAACCTGACTAACTGCTTTGTTTTAGGTACCGGTTTAATGCGCATCCTTTTAGACGTACATCCAATGATTCGCTGTGGGCCAGAACCAATTGTAACAAGGGAAATGTTGAAATATAGACGTTATATGGATAATATAGGAAAATGGTTGCAGAAGACTGGTTATACTTCTCGTGTACTTGATGACGCTACAGCTGCATTCATTACAACTGTGATTAAAAAAATGGGTCCCACAGCTCCAAGATTATGCCACAAAGATCCTTCAACATATATATACCTTAAAGACTTGGGTCTTTTGTTTCCGAAGGCTAAATTTATTCTCATGATACGTGATGGACGAGCTGTTGTCGCTTCAACTATCGCGTAAGGAAAATTTGCCTAAGTTAAAATGTATTTGGGCCAATAAAACGTTGAATTAAATGGACAGTTTATATTTTTAGTATTTTTAATATATTTATGCGTTGAAGTTTCTGTAGCAATTCGGTTAAGTTTTGGGGGTGAAATTGCTAGCACCATGCCCCAACCCTGCCTCTTTATCCGGGCTTGGGACTGCTAGAATCGAAGACTTACAAGCGAAAATCGACAAACTGGTCGAAGAAGCAGACAGTGAAGACGGGACTCCAGGTGAACATAGACAAGACCGAGTTTATGAAAATAACCAACCAACAACAACAACAGCAACATCCAGCGGCAATCACCATCAACGGGAGGGATTTGAAAGAGGTTACTTCATTCACTGATTATCTAGGGAGCATTGTCTCAACTACAGGCCACAGGAGCGGACGAGGATGTCAAATCGAGCGAGAATCGGGGGGAGGGCGACAAACACACACATTCATCAACCAACTGAAGCCAATCTAGATGCCAATCTTCGTCACTCAGCCAGAATCAACAACAAAATTCAGTCGGATTTTCAATACAAACGTCAAGTCAGTCATTTCTTCTATACGGAACGGATCAGAAACTTGGACGGCGGGTCACAAAGAATATTTCCAACAACCTGTTGCAGACTTTTATCGACAACAAATATCTTCTCTGGCTCTATTCTGAAGATCAGATGGCCGGGTTGGAAAGAATCACCAACAAGAAACTATGGGAAGAAACAAAACAAGAATCAATCGCCTAACAAATATGCAAGTGAAAGCGAAGATGGATTTGACACTCGCTGAGGAGGCCGTTGGAAGACAACGCGCGCGCGTCAAACCATTACTAGAGTGGAACCAGCCGAAGGGGAAGCGGCGAGTGGGACGTCAGTGCAAGGGTGACATGGGGAAGTATGGACTAATATGGATGCAGGTAAAAAGTACAACAGAAGACAGAAGTGGAAAGTAGAGACGTGCGGTTGAAGCCCTATATTCCACTAAGAGCCCAAGGGAACAATAATAATAATAATAATAAATGGACATTTGGGATCTTTCAGTCCATTTGCAGCGTTATAACGTTTTCTTATTATTGATGTATCTGGTCAAATCTCAGACTGAAATATTATTTCATGTCCCTATTGCAAAATGAATAAATACAATTTTCGCTTTTGTTATAGCTAAAATAAGGAGAATTTTAATCACAATTAGTGATGGTTATCCTATTAATATTTAAGCATAAACTTTGGCATTGTGGTATTAAGTAATTATATATTAGTTTGTTTATTATTATCATGTTCATCAGCCTGAAATCAATCTGGAAATCTTCGTCACTCAGCCAGCATCAACAACAAAATTCAGTCGGATTTTCAATACAAACGTAAGTCAGTTTTTCTATACGGATCAGAAACTTGGCGGGTCACAAAGAATATTTCCAAAAGGCTGCAGACCTTTATTAACAACTGTCTTCGCTCTATACTGAAAACCAGATGGCCGGAAAGAATCACCAACAAGGAATTATGGGAACAAACGAAGTAAGAACCAATCGCCAACCAACAAATATGCAGGAGAAAGTGGAGATGGATCGGACACTCGCTGAGTAGACCGCTGGGTGACATCGCGTGCCAAGCCCTCGAGTGGAACCCGAAAGGGAAGCGGCGTGTGGGACGTCCAAGGGTGACATGGAGGAGATAGTGTAAAGAGGAGTTGAAAGAATATGGACTAACATGGATGCAGGCGAAAAGTACAGCAGAAGACAGAAGAAAATGGAGACGTGCAGTTGAAGCTCTATGTTCCACTAGGAACCCAAGGGAGTAATAATAATAAAATAATATTAGTTTGTTTATCAGATGTATCATACAGTGAAACAGAATTACTTACTGGATGACAAAGTTTTGAATAATATATATATTGTTCATAATCATTTCATCAGTTTTAATCACATGACATCGACGGTTGAGCTTTATGGTTTTCTTTGTCTTCTTCTATTTCTGGTAGAATTTTCCAGATATCTAGGTGGACAGGTATTGAATCATTCCTATTCCCATTTGAGTTTGCTAAGCTTTTATGCTCGGTTAGTGTGACTGCCCTTTTCCTACTACTTTGGCCTATGTATTTGACCTGACAATCATTACAGGCAGGGTAATAGACAAACTAAATTGTTTTGTTTTAAACGTAGCGATTGCAATGTTTAGCCTCACACCAAAAGTATGATGGAGATATATAGACGACACATTCACTGTACTTAGAACACAGGATATAGAGAGTTTTCTTTTTCGAACACATTAACTCAAACGTGAAGGCAATTCAATTCACTTATGAAGTGGAACATCACGAAGGGGAACTTTAAATGTTAGACTGTGACGTAAAAAGGAAAGAAGATGGAAGTTAAACACGTTTTTACAGGGAACCCACACATTCAAACAGATATTTGGATTTCCGATCATCCCATCCTATGTCAGTAAAAATAGGATTGGTGAAATATTTAAGTAATAGAGCACAAAAACTAACTAATACCAAGGAAAATTTAAGACAGGAAGTGAGACATATTAAAGGAGAAGCTTTGAAACTTAATAATTACCATGATAAATTAATCAGGAAATATGTAGGGAAATGTAAAAATAAAATAAATAATGATAGTAGCGATAGTGATAATAATAATAATTATAATATTAATGACGACATGCAAGTCAAACATCCACAGGATAATGACAACACCAACAATAAGGAATCTGAATCATCAGTAGTAATTACATACGGGGAGGGAACTGGTCACGACTTCCCACTGGAACCCCCAGGTAACTACCTACCTGAATAGGGCCAGTCACCAGTGAGCATCTCATTGGTATTCTAATATTAATTTGTAGGGATTTGGTTGATTGGTTACAGGATTTCATCATGAGCTGACATTGGTTAGATAACCACCATTGGAAAACCTAGGAATACTGGACAGCTGTTTCGTCCTAGTTTGGGACTCTTCAGCAGTACGCATCCACCGGGGTTCGAACCCAGTGACAAGCAGGGTGCAGCAGGTCGGGTGTGAGGACAAATACTAGCCACAGAAGACATTGGCTAGCGGTTGCACTATATCGTGAATTGGCAGAAGTTAGAATTCATACGCTAGTCAGTGGATCGGTTCCCAGTGGCTTAATGGTCTACGAGCTCACTGGCCTTGTAACCGGAAGGTCCTGGGTCCGAACCCTGCTGGTGGGTGCGTACTGCTGAAGAGTCCCAAACTAGGACGAAACAGCTGTCCAGTATTCCTAGTGTTTTCCAATGGTGGTTATCTAACCAATGTCAGCTCATGATGAAATCCTGTAACCAATCAACTAAATCCCTACAAACCAGTACTTGAATAAACTATGTTTTTAAATTGCCTCACAGAAAAAACTGTGGGGTAAACTATTTACAGTGTAGCAAATAATTAATTTTATGATCTAGAAAAAAAACTTTATACTTCCATTTTATTTTGAAGTCGGGGTATAAATACGCTTTTTACTCCGAAAAATATTACTGGAGCAATTCTGTCCTGGGAGTATAGGACTAGACAAATTCTGGAAGATTGTCAATTCATCGGAAGTGAGCGATGCTTAGTTGTTCGTTATGAATGTCTTGTGCTTAATCCGCGAATAGAAATTCAAAATGTACTGGGTAAGGGGATGAAATTATTATTGTTATTATTATTGTAATGATGAACAAAATGTTTTTCTGTCTCATTATCATATAGTATAAAATATATAACATACTCTATCGGTAATAATAATAGTAATAATAATAATAATGGTCATTATTCATTTTCTGTGTTCCGTGTGTTACTTAGGATGTCTGCGGTACATTTATGTTCCACTCAGTCACCCACTATCACTTTCATCTGGTTCCATAATTGCCTACAAGCCTTCATTATTTCTTTCACTCTCGGCCAACAACTGGCCCATCACCTTGTGTTCCAGCTCCATTCTACGTCTTGACATGTGATGTCATTTGAATGTCTTCAAGACTTATTTCCAGTCCACTAGCGTTTCCTTCTGCATTCTTGTTTGACAATAGCTCATTTTTATTGGTCCACTTCCCACCAGACTTCCCAAGTGCTTATGTCTTTTGGTAGGCTGTCTGACATTCTTGTCACCTGACCATCACTAAATATTGCAAAACTCTGAATACTGATTTGGAAAATAAATACTTTTATGATAGATGGGCATAGAATCACTTAGACTACCAGATGTTAACTTCAAATTCACAAAGTGATAAATCACCTAATCTGTGGGTCCAGTTTATGTCTGTTACCTTACTGCCCTCTGTGCGTCTGTCACATAATCTAGTCTACCGCAATCAGGAACATCACTGGAGATAGTAGGCAGCCAGTTAGCCAGCCTTGTCTTATACACGTTTTTACTTCAAAGGATTCCCTGAGTTTCCCGTTGTGGATTATTTGGCACGCAGCATTGATGTGCAACTGTTGGATAAAATATTTAATTGTTGGCGACATCCTACGGTAGTAGCAAAGTAGTTTCCAAACCACCTCTCGATCGACGCTGCACTGTCGAAGGCCTTTTCAAAGTTGATGAAGTTGAGTGAGGTTGAGAGCTGACTGCCATTCTAAGCTTTGTTCAATGATGATCCATAGTGTGGCGATTTGATCAATACATGACTTGTTTCTCCTAAATCCAGCTTGTTCCGGTCGAAGTTTTGCATCTAGGGCTTGTTTGATTCTCTCGAGGATGATTCGGCTTAGTATTTTACTTGGGATGGACAAGAGCATAATTCCGCGCCACTTCTTGCATTGACTTAAGTCTCCTTTCTTTGGTAGTTTGAATAAGTAGCCTTTCTTCCAATCCTTGAATACCTTGCCCTAATTCCACACCTTCTCCAGTAATGGTGTCATCAAAATGCGCTGATGTATCTGCGTCCAATTTCATAGCCTCTGCTGCGATTCCGTCTGAACCTGCTGCCTTTCCAGTTTTTAGTATCTTGATTGCCTTCATGACTTCTATTTTCGTCGAAGGGTTGA